TCAATTGACTATAGAAAGGCCTACGTATATCCTACATAGATACTACATCTTATAGGCCTTTATAGGAAAATCTACGTACACTCCACATAGAATATACATAACTTGGCCTACATAGAAGGCCGATTTTAAGGCTACATAAATACTACGTAGTATTTAGTACATAGTCCGTGTTATATTTTTATTCGGGATGGATTTACTTCAAGCAGGAGTTTTACCGTCCTAGGACGGTAAAACTGCTGATAAAACTGCTGCTTGAAGTAAAGGCATACTTTGCGTCTCAAAAACCACTTCATAAAAAATTTTAACGACAACAGTGTTTTCAACCGAAAGCTTATTATAATAATAGTATAATTTTTTAAAATGATTAATTATTTAACAATTTTCAATAAAACATATATTTAGTCGTAAATAAAGATACATTTTATCTTCACATTGTTATTAAAATATAATTACATGTGATTTTGGACGACAGGGAGGTAAAATACTTTTCTCTCCCCGCTATGACGTCACAGGAAGGTAAAGTAACATTCTTGGCTTAGTGGACTGCAGTTTTGCATTATTTATGTACTTTTATGTGTAGATTTTAGGAATAATATACTGAAAAACTGTTGGTAGAGCTGTTCGCCCAATGCGGTGAACTGCTGTGTTAAAAAGAAACGCACAGCTCACTTTATTTTTGGGCGAGCAACTCTCCTTTTTGATAGAGCTGCTGAACTATTTGTCAAGCAGCCTCTCACCAACGCCATTGCGGTAGTCAAGTTTAAGAGAGCAGCTCGCCCAATTTTGATAGAGCTGTGAGTTTAAAGTCAAGTAGCGCTGCACAACAGTCAATAGCGGAACTGTTCTACCAACAGTTTTTCAGTGTAAAGCAAAAATATTTGGAGTTGATCTTTATATGGTTCTCAACGAAAAAATTGATATTTTTGAAAATTTAGTCAAAAAAGTGTGTACTCTTCAGTACGGGTACGCATGTGTACTATTTACCATAAAAATATTATTTTAGCTTATTTTTAAATTTTTATCGTCATTTTGAAAAATCTTGTCGAACATAAAGATTACAGATAATAATTAACAATCCCAGATAGCACGTAATCTTATGCTTACTAACGTAACTTAAGCTTACTGTAACCTTGCCGTGTAATGTTACTAAGATTGCAGCGCAAGGTTACCGTAATGTTACCATAAGGTTAAAATGTCCTACCTGTCGTAAGATTACACTGTAAGATTGTCACAATGTTATTTGGTAAGCTTGCTGTAAGGTTATTGCAAGGTTGCCGCAAGGTTACAAAAAATGTCTGCAAATTTTAAAAACGAAAAATTTCTAAGTTTCTTTATCTCTTTTATAATTTTTATTTCTTAATACGCGCGTATATTTAAAAAATTAAAATTTTGTAAATTGTAGTAACCTTTCAGTGTAAACTTACAGAAACCTCACAGTGTAACCTTACGACAGGTAGGACATTTTAACTTTATGGTAACTTTACTTTACTTGCCCTGAAATCTTATTAACATTGCACGGCAAGGTTACAGTAAGATTACCATAAGGTTACGTGCTATCTGAGAATAATTTCTAACTTTGAAACAACAAAAATAGTATATTAACCCATTTCTTTATCATCTTGTTGCTTACGATATTTTTTATTCCAAATGCACAAAAGTGTCAAGAAAAACGCATGGGAACAGCTGATTTTCTTGCCCATGGGAGAACACGCTCGCCATTTTCATACGGTCGAAGAAATTAATGACTTTCCTCCCTGTCGTCTGCTATCAGAAAGCGCCATTTTTGTGCATGTGGGATAAAAGCAGGAAGGAAGAGTAAGGAGACCGAACTCTGCTTCTACAAATGTCTGAGAAATATGCACGAAAAGTGCCAGACTCACTGTGTTCTAGTTGATCACCAATTAAGTCGATCATGCGCATTGAACTAAAGTTCAGTGTTGACATAGATGAAAAGTGTGGTTATGTCAAGGTAAATATTACATAGTTTAAACAGTGTTAATTTTAAAAGCAAATTTATTTATTTGCAATTGTGATATTCCCAGGAGGAAAAGTCGGACGAATGTCGGAGTTTACAACCGCCTGGGATCCGCGCCCGTGCGGACCGCCAGTACCGATGTTTTGTACCGATTCGGATCCCAAAATTCAACCGGCGCGGAACAGATTAGGCTCAGAATTTTGGATCCGCCTTTCTACTTTCGTCAGTACTGGCGTGGTACTGGATTTGTTCCGCCTGCGGATTTCATTCTTCTACGGGCGTCGGAAGAATGACGGATGTTAGGTCTGTACTGGCTCGGTGCTGGGGCGGATCCGACTGCGGATCTCGTCATTTATTGTTATAGTTCACATTATCAGTATAATCATAAATTTATTTTATTATATATATCATAGCTAATTAATTATTACAATAACTAATTGCATTTATCATAATAATATTATTATTATTATTATTATTTAACCAATAAATAAATTAATTGTATTGATGCAAAGGAAGAATATAAGAAACTTAATTTTTTCATTATATTTATAAAAATCCAACTTTATTAATGTGCAATTAAATAAATAATTTTTAATAAATAATAATATTAACTTGAAAGAAAATGTGTTCAATATATAATAATACCTACAATAAATAACACATTAAATAAATATATAAAAAACAGATTATTAATTAATTTATTTATTATTAATTAATTAATAATCTCTTTTTAATTTAAACAATATATTAAGTAATTATTTATTGACACTTTTCTGCAAATTAAATAATTAAAAAAATGTGTTGTGTATTCAAATTTCATTCAATTATTAATAATTACGTAATAAAATATTAAAAAATATAATAATAAAATAACAATTTTAACAAGTTCCTTTTTAAACGAAATATTAAAATATTCATAAATACCGGTATTACATCAGTTCGTATTTCCAAATTGCCTATTGCCGCGTAGTAATTTTACAATTTTCATTTTTTAGCTAGTGAGACTTGAAAGCATTTAAGATTTGAGAGTTCCATGCGAGCGTAGCATAGTGGTTAGCGTGCGAGATTTCGGTGCGTAAATATTCGGTTAGGCGTAGGTTCGTACCCCCAAGCGTTAGGATTTTTCAAATGTGAATATAAAAAAATACCGTTAAGTGTATAAAAAAATGTGTAAAGTGAACTATCAATAAATTGTTATCAGTATTTATCTTTTGCAATTAATTATTATTTTTTTTTGATATTTGTTGAAATTATCATTTTGATCCGAGTCGGTTGTCAGGCGGTAGAATGCCAGCATTACCAGCGCACATCTGGCTAGGAAATATCTAAGATTTTTTTAAAGCGCTTTCTACACAGAGTTCGGGCTTACTCTTCCTTCCTGGATAAAAGCAATGTTTTAAAAGAAGCAAGAAGAAAGAATTCTATACTAATTTTTTTTTATAAATAGAAATCCATACTCATGTGTAATACTTACCATTAAAATATTATTTTGTATTTATTTGTTTTTTAAGTCAAAATTATTTTCATTAAAAAATGCCATGTAGAAGTTCCAGGGACTTTCCAGGGGGGTACTTCCATGGAATTTTTCGACGTGGGATTTGTCTATCGAAAATTAACTAAACTTTTTGTTTTGAGGTTTAGGCCAAAGAAAGTTTAGGCTTTGGCCTAAACGTCAAAACACAAATTATATTACGATCCAAAAACTGACTTTTAACAAATTAACTAAACTGCATTTATCAGAAATTAACCGATAGTGCCTTCACTGTCCACTCCCGTGTAGCTACTTTTTTACTACTTTTTTCTGTCTTTAAAATACTTTTTGCTTATTTTTTAAAATTTATTATCGAGTACGAAGCCTGCACATTTTAAATTCGTTATATTTCTTTCTCTTTTTTCTAAGTTTTGACATTTAAATTACAAAAAGAATGGGCTAATGTTTGGTTACAATTTTTTCCATATTTATAAATTTCCTGCTTGTTATTCTTCTTTTAGTTGCTTTTTATTTTATTTTTGTTTGCTTTATCCACTTATTATTTTATTTTCCTTATTTTACTTATATTTGAATTCTGATTTTTCATTCCTGCTGACTCGTATGGCATTGAAATTACTTTTGAGCGTTACAACGCTACATACATTGTGTGAGTTTGTATATATATAAATTTATATATGTATTACTTTCAATTGTTTGCAGTATTTCGATAGAGGTTTTGATCCTGCTTGGGATCATTTTTGACACTTTACAATTTACCGTGGTCCGCTTCAAGTTTATCATCTACAATGGGAAAATCGTATGAAATGTGGCGCGAGCGAAGTCTCATTCATTTTTGTTATACAGTGCGATTCTCATTTTACACTTGTCAAGATGAATTCACATTTTTTCTCTGTTATTTCTATTTTTATCGTTGTTGGAACTATTATTATTTTATTTTTATTATTTCTTTATTACTATTATTATTATTGTTATTTTTACTATTTTTACTACTATTATTATTTACTTTTTACTGAATTCTTAATGAATAAAAAAATTTAAAATAATAATTTTAATAATAAATGCTCAGAATACATTTTATTTTTATTTTTTACACTATTTGTATTATTATTAATGAACAAAACCTGACTTTTTTAAACTTCTTATTATTTAACCTCTAAATTAAAAATATTGAAAATGTTTATATAAGATTAAAAAAAATTTTAGCTAAAATATCAACAAAATAATTAAATTAAAGCTTCATTAAAAAAATCTACGTAGGAAATTTACAAAATACTATATTTTAATGAAATATTCCTACTTTATTCAAAAGGAACATATTTTTCTATAATAAAAAAAAATTACAAAAAAATTTTTATAATAATAATGAAAAAAATAATAATTTTCGACATTTGGAAGCTTCTTTTGAAATAAAGTAGGAATAATCCTAGCATGTGGATGGAATATTCGAGGAATGTTTTTTAATTAGTTAAACATTTCAATCTGAGTAAATCAAATCAATGATATACATATTATTTTAATTAAAAAAGGATAAACCTTGAGAAATGTCCACCATTCGAAAGGCCATATTTTGATTCTCCAGAATATATTATATTTGAACAAAGATCATGTTGTCGGCAGCAAGCATCGGTTTCTTTAAAATGTCCCAAATCGTCATTGTGTTCTGCAATGTCTCCATCACCACACCAACGTGTCCCTTATAGTAATAATTTATTTTATCATAGGGGAGATTGGGAAAATGTGGGCCACCTCAATTATTTAATAATATTTATAAGTTTGATCATCCAATTTTTTTTTATTTTTTTTTTTGTTCATCCAAAGTAAATTTTTCATTAGCATTTTATTACTTTACAACGCTTTATAATTACCTATAAACCGTAAACAAAAATCACCTGAAAAATTGCATTCAAATATTTATTTTGGACCTTCATGTTTTTATTGTTTTTACAAGGATTTTCAAGAATAAATTATAAAAAATATTTTTTTAATTATTGTGTGGGATTGGTACTTTGACTCCAAAAAGAAACTTTGCATCAAATTAAAATGAATAATAATACAAAGCTTTTTGTAAAATGAAGCATTTGGGGAATTGTGGGACACTTTTTTTAGGGTAGTATTTATTGCTTGTTTTTGGCGATTTAATTGCAAATATTATTAAAATCACTCATAGATATAGTAATTTAACAAAAACAATTTGTTTCATTGCGATTCATGCGATAAAGCTGTTTACTTAAAAATTTGTAATTAACTAATTGTGATTCCGATTAATTTAATTTTCTTACTTTTTCTTTTCAATTTTTAAACTAATAATTAAACATTTTTAATATTTCTAACCATGTATAAAATATATTTCATCGTTATTTTTGATTTTGAACTCAATTTAGGCAGTGGCCCACAATTCCCCAACATTTTTAAAAATCATAAAATTGCACTCTATGGTAAAACTGAAATTTCTTTAAGGTAAGTGATAATTTTGGGAAACTGACCATGATATATGTTAGTTTATACCTCCTACTAACACGAAAAATTTAAAAATTTGAAAAAAAAATTTTGTGTGTAAGATATTGAGCTAAAAATGTGTGGCTCACAATTCCCCAATCTCCCCTACTCTCTAAATTTTAATTAGTAAAAATGTTTACTAATTTGAATTATTAGTAACTGCCTTTCTGTTTTTGAATTTGTAAATTTTATTAATAAATAGTAATTTCTACTAATTAATTAGTTAAATTTACTAATTTAAAAGCAAAAAATCTTGACATTAGTTAATTTTTTTACTACATAATACAAATTTATTTAAACTTCTTGAAGTGAGAAAATTTGATCGATTTTTAAAATTTATTTTCCTATTGTTGAAAACATATTGAAAGCTTAAACAAACAAAATATTTTTTCCGCACGGTAAATATTCTCAAAAATTACTCACTGAAATAAAAACAAAAAATACAAATGAAATATTTTAATTTATTTAATAATATAAAAGATTTCATATAAAATTGTAATTTTATATAAAAATACAAAATTAGATACAAGAATTTAACAATTTTATATGCAATAGCATAAAATAGTTTTCGTTATCATAATTATAATGAATTTTTATATTCTAAATTAATGAACACGTCTCTTACCTGGAAAAATGATCCGAAATGGTTTATTTTTCTTTGTTCCATTATCCGATCGAAAATCAAAAAACACTTTTTCCGTTTCTGTCACTTTAACTGATGTCTGTTGAATTGCGGCCAATTCAAGTAGCAATAATATTGTAAAAAAAATTGAGATACTACATCGAAACATATTTTCTTGAAAAACACAAAATTCTCTATATACTTTCTTATGTACTTAGTTTTAGTATCATATGATAATATTTTACTCTCCAAACGATAAAATTCATGATACACAATGCGCGAAGTAAAATAAAAATTTAGGAAGTTTATTATTGAATTATCTCGTGAGAAGATGAATTTAATCGCGACAAGTGAATCACACTATAGATCCATGAGATACTTTAACTTTGTATATAGATTAAAAGTATCAGGTGATGTTTTATTTAAAGAATGAGAGAGTATATTGACAGTGTATGTGTCCGAAGACAATTTTCTGATGCAATCAACGTTTGCTTGTTCCAAAGTCTAGACAATATTTTTTTCACTTGTTCGTTAACCCGACGAAAAAGTGACGCAATTTTATATTTCATCTGATTTGAATGTGTTTGTGTTAGTGTTTATTTAATTTTTTCCAAATCATGTTTGGCGGTTCGAGCCATATACGAATTATTGGTTGGTTTAATTAATTATTGTTGATAATAAATATTACATAAAATGTACAATTTTAAATGTATTGAAATTGAAAACCTTTGACAGAATTAATTTTGCGGTTATTTCGCCTGCATTTATTATTATTAATTATAAAATGATTTACTTCAGTTCGTTCATTTGTTTTCCAAAGTGCACGTAAACAATTTCAAATTTTGTAAAAAGAAATATTTCGAAAAAAAGTTCTCCTCGCTGACAGGATGGTTTAGCCCACTTGAAAATTATAGGATTTGTTCTTCATATTGATGAGAATTTATGGTAAAAATTAGAAAGAAAAAAAGTGGGGTTTTTGAGAAAATCGACATTATTTTTTTTATAAAACTATCTCTTATTTCGTTAATTTTGAATTTTTTTCAAATTTCAAATTGGATTTTGAAGAGGACTAGCCCATCTACAAGTTTCAAGAAAAAAAATTTGATCATACTCAATAGAAAAAAAATTACAAGCGAAACCAATAGTTTTTATGAAAAATAAAAAAATACGGGTCTCTTTATTTTTCATATAGAATAACATATTTTATCAGCAGTTAAATCCATGACTTAAAGTTTGTCAGTCTGCCTGATTTGAAATGGATTCAGCCTTAACATGAATTTAATTTGACATAAATCTCACTTGACATAACCCAGGCGGAAAAGTCGGACGAATGTCGGAATTTACAACCGGCTGGGATCCGCGCCCGTACAGACCGCAAGTACCGACGGTCTGTACCGATTCGGATCTGAAAAAGCAACCGGCGCGGTACAGATTATGCTCCGACTGTCGGAACCGTCTTCCCACTATTGTCAGTACCGGCTCGGTACTGGATTTCTTCCGCCGGCGGATCTTATTCTTCTGCGGCGTCGGAAGAATGACGAATATGTTTAGTCTGTACTGGCTCGGTGCTGGGCCGGATCCGACTGCGGATGTCGTCATTTATTGTCACATTATAAATTTATTTTCAATAAATGTGTCATAACTAAATAATTATTACAATAATTAATTGCATTATTTTAGAAAATAATGATTAATTAATAAATGAATTTAATCAAAATATTAAGTAATTATTTATTAAGAGTTTTTTCAAAATTAAGCAATTAAAAAAATTTGTTGTGCACTTATAGTTTATAATTATTATAAATAAATTTATACTATTAATATAAATTTATTATTATTAAGATATTATTAATTAATATTATTGAGAATTAATAATAAATTATTAATATTAATAAATATTAATATTCATGTTAATAATTTATTATTAATTCTCAATAATATTAATGTTAATTAATAATATCTCAATAATAATAAATTTATTATTATTGTGATATTAATTAAAATTATTAATATTATTATGTTCAATATTATTATATTGAAATACAATTATTTAATATATTAAATAATAATAAAAATATAGCTGTAGCATTGACGCGTAGTTATTCGACAAGTTTTATTTCAGCTTGTGACACTTGAGAGTATTTAAGATTTGAGAGTCCCATGCGAGCGTAGCATAGTGGTTAGCGTGCGAGATTTCGGTGCGTAAATATTCGGTTAGGCGTAGGTTCGTACCTCCAAGCGTTAGGATTTTTCAAATGTCTATGTAATAAAAAATTGCGTTTAAGTGTATAAAAAAATAAAAAAAATGTGTAAAGTGAACTGTCAATGAATTGTCATCAGTATTTATCTTTTGCAATTAATTATTATTTTTTTATTGATATTTGTTGAAATTATCATTTGGATCCGACCCGGTTGTCAGTCGGTAGAATGCCAGCGCTCGGCTGGCTATTAAATGAAAAATCCACGGTCGGTAGAGTGCCAGATCCCAGCCGGTTGAATTATACACGGAACGGCTTCTCCCGGCCGGTCAGCGGGCGGTAGAATGCCAGTTCCGAGCCGGTTGTCAGCGCGCTCCTGGCCTAGTCACTATTCGGTAGAATGCCCGTTCACATTCGGTTGGCAGGCGGTTCCGAGCCAGTACAGTTACACCGGCGTCAGTACGGGCTAGGATCCGCGCCGGTTGGAAATTTCCGCCTGGGAAATTTTATTTGACAGAAATATCACTGAAAATAAGTCTCACAAGACAAAAAAACAATTAACCTAAATCTAATTTGACATAAATCTTACAAGACAAAAAAACAATTAACATAAATCTAATTTGACATAAATCTCACAATAAAAAAATCTCATTTGACAGAAATCTCACCAAACGTAAATCTTATTGAACATAAATTTTATTTCATTTGACATAAATCTCACTTAACATAAATCTCACGATACAAAAAATTACTTAACGGGTGATTCTCCGCGTACACGGAAAGAAAAGGTCTGGAAGAGATATCCATAAAAATATTGTTGAGCAGAATATTGTTTTGTTATCCAATTCAATGGAAGAGACAACTTTCAGAATGGAAGCACATTCCATATTCAATGGATGAGGGAGCCATATTATATTGTTGAATCAAATATGGATGTGACATCCATAGGCATGGTTGGGCTTACAATTCATGCTATGGATTTTCACATATGGCTGCCTCATCCATATAAACTTTGGTTGGGAGATCCATAGTTAGTTCAAAATTTCGATACATGTTGCGCGCAATTCATTATCATGGCATCCATTTAAAAATGGTCGTCTCAATTTGTCCGTCGCGTCGGTTTCCTGTCACGTCTATATAATCGCGTTGTGAGTTTATTGTGTATAAATAGTGTTACAATTGTTCATTATTTATTATCGTTCTTGTCTATTAGTGTTTATGTAAATTCATTTTCATGAAATATGTGTATAGTATATGTGACTGTCCACGAGAAAACAGGGCTTAGCTCTAAAAAATCATTTTGAGTTTTTTATGCTATAATCGATAGATTTTATATTGCTTTTTCAAATGCAAAAATCAAAAGTTGTAAATTGTCAATTACTTTTGACAATACAACGTTTTAAAGATGTTATATTGTATGCATTCCTTCGTTCTGCTTCTTTCAGTCACTAGCCCTGTGAAAGCTAAGCCCTGTTTTCTCGTGGACAGTCACATATAAGGAATATTATATGCTCAAATATTGTAGTTGCGTGTATAGTGTAGTGGATAGCGTTAGTGTTTAGTATGCGTTAGGTCTAGGGTTCGTGTCTCCCCCATCGATTAATAATTTATTTCGTAAATATGCGGTTATTCAATAAGTGGTGTGTATTAATTAACAAAAATGTGTATAAAATATCTCAAGTGACATAGAATTTAATTAATTGAGTGATTCTAATTTTTTTGTTTCCCATTTCCATTACTATGGATCACCCAACAATAGATCTTTTGCTGCTCCAACAATATACAGCCAGCCATAGAATATGGATGCAGCAACCTTAACTATGGATATCCCGTATTTTTCAATATAATATGGCTGTCATATCCATGTATCTGGATGTGTCAACTGTTCCTTTTTCTCCGTGTAGCGCACGATTTGGTTTATGAAACTAAAAAAATTTTTTTTTATCGTTCTGATTATTATCAATATATTTTTTTGAAGATAAAGGCTCTAGAAAGAAATATCCATAGCGGGCCGGAAAAATTATTTATAATTTTTGTTGTAAACAAGTGTAGTAATTAACTAATTCACTGTTTGGACACATTCTGTCAAAAAAAAAAAAATTTTACGGTAATTTAAACAATATTATAGCGTAAATCTCATTTAAAAATTATTATTTTGATAATTTATGGAAATTTTTGCGATAATTTATCAAAATATGTAAAATTTTAATTATTATTAAAAATTTGGATTTTGGTACTTTATGGAAATTTTCGCGGTAATTTATGGTAATTTATAAGGTAATTTATGGAAATTTGTAAGGTAATTTAAAGAAATTTTATCGGTAATTTTTAAAAATATGCAAAGTAGAAATCACAATTAAAAATTTTTATTTCGGTAATTTATTTAAGTAATTTATGGTAAACTTTCCTGAGCTATAGGTTTTTTTTATTCCTTATATATGTGGCACCATAACACTACATTTGCACTAGGTTCTTCGTAATACGAAGGTCTGTGGAAATTCTGAGGTCGGTGGAAACTGAGGCCGGTGGGAACTTTTTCAACCGACTTTAGATATTTTAATTTTTTGAAAAAAGTATCATTAATTTTCAATCGGTTATTTAACCTTTTTTATAAATAATTGTTTAATTTATGGTAAAATATTTAAGAGTCGGTGGAGATTATTTTGTGATTCCCTTATCAAATTTCCAACTTAAAATGAGTGAAAAATGAATAAATCAATTAGAACATTGATTCTTTTTCCCGAATTAACTTAAGGAAGTTATTTTTTGTGTTTACAAAAGTTATTTAAGTTAACATTTGATTTTCATTTCAATAATTCACTGTTTGTTAATAAAATAATGAATAGCATCCAAATTTGCTGTCAATCATAAAATGAAAAAAAACATATATAAAATGAATTTAAAAAAAAAAATTTTTTTTAATCAACTGTACTAAAGTAGACGATACTAAAATGTCAATAGTAACACTGTGAGACAAAATAAAAAAAGTTGCCTGCACTTTTATAGAGACCTAGTATAAGTTGTAGGTCTATAGTAAAACTATGAACAATGATGTGTGAGAAATTTCCCAAACACCCCCAAAATTTAATTTTAGGGGCAAAAAACCGTTTTTTGCGTATTCATGTAAAGAATTACTCGTAACTTCCGTAATTTTCAACCGATTTTCAAAATTGTTCTTTTATTTAAAAGGGGATAAGCACACCTTTTTAACCGTGTATTGCTCGTTTACTCAAAGTAAAAATTGACAAATCCACAGTTGAAAATATTTGCTATTTATCGATTTTCATTCCATTTTTTCATCTTTAACGAGGTATTTAGAATAATATTCGAATTTACAGATTCTTTTCATAATAATTTCTTAAAAGTATACTTAATTCTGCGTAAAATGAGTTTTGTATTTGTATTTGTATTAAAATGTTTTCAAAAAATACTCATTTTACGCAGAATTAAGTATACTTTTAAGAAATTATTATGAAAAGAATCTGTAAATTCGAATATTATTCTAAAAACCTCGTTAAAGTTGAAAAAATGGAATGAAAATCGATAAATCGCAAATATTTTCAACTGTGGATTTGTCAATTTTTACTTTGAGTAAACGAGCAATACACGGTTAAAAAGGTGTGCTTATCCCCTTTTAAATAAAAGAACAATTTTGAAAATCGGTTGAAAAGTACGGAAGTTACGAGTAATTCTTTACATGAATACGCAAAAAACGGTTTTTGCCCCTAAAATTAAATTTTGGGGGTGTTTGGGAAATTTCAAACATACTACTTGTTTCAGTTTTTCAAGATGAACAAGTTAGAATAGGTCCGATTTAAAGTGCCATTTTACTGTCACACAGTGTAATTGTATTTATTATTGCATATTACTAAAATTATTAAGTTTTTTTTCTAAACTTCATGTGGGGACAGGTAAAAATTTGACGTTTTTAGCCTTAAAACCGATTATTTACGAAAAATTATAATATTAGATACAAAAGTAATTATTGGTTTTTGTTTCTAAACATATAAATAACCTTTTTACGTTGGAATTGTAAAAATATATGAAAATTATTTATTATTTTTCCATTGCAACATGAAAAAAATCAAGTTCTGCGCTACGCGAAGAATCACCCTATAACATAAATCTAATTTGACATAAATCTTACTTGACATAAATTTCATTTGACAGAATTCTGACCTTACATAAATCTCATTGGACATAAATCTCACAAGACAAAAAAATCAATTGACATAAATCTCATTTGACAGAAATCAAACTTAACATAAATCTCCTTTCGCCTGATCAGAACTCTTCTTACGTAAAATTTTTGAACCTTTCATTAATTATAGGGTTTTTATTGATCAGAACTATTTACATAAACTGTAGAAAACTCTAGAACTCTTTTAAATCTACTGAGATGTTTTTGATGTTTTTCAAATTGAACCAAATGTCAAATAACAAAACGAGAAACGAGAAGCAATTGTAAACAAATAAGCATTAGAGAACTGTTTTTAAAATCTCCGCAGACATTGTAGTAAATGAAATAAAAGAAATTTAATCAACAAGTGATTAGTCTGTTGTTTTCGAGTGTGTCACGATAATTAAATTTTACCTTCTCTCGCTACTTTTTTTTAACCCTCTCGAACTCTTTTTCTTAACGCGCGATGTCCTTGTTGCAATTTAATTAATCGCAATAATTAAAAGGAAAGTAGGAGGAGAATAAATTCGTCTTGAGGGATTGGTTAAGTGAAGTTAGAAGGGGATCGAAAGGGGTAAATTGAGAAGGAGAAAGAGAGAGAAAGAGAAAGAGAGAGAGAGAGGAAGTAGAAAAGTCAGCTTCCAGGCAAAGCAATGCTTTTGAATATGCAAAACCTTCTCTCACGCGTCGCTTAACTTGAGAAGAGAGGCGCTATATGAGGTCTGGCGGTTTTCGAAGGAAACATTGTAGGGATCATGGTTATATATCCTAAGAGAGAAGATATGTTATTCCTCGTAACGAACATGAAATAACAAGACGTACCTCCCACTGGAGAACATGGCTTTTACAAATTTATACTAAGTCAAGTTCTTCTTTTCCCAGCCACTTAAGTTTGCACCTCCTTTTCTTCGTAGCAAAATCCTTTCTTTTGTTACCAAATATGAATACGCAACAAACCCTTTCATTTCCCTATGAGAGAGAGAAAGAGAAAACTTTTGGAAGGGACTTATGTAATATGCATCTGCCAACAATTCTTCTCCATCCAAAAACAAACCCACAATAAATCTCTCCATTTTTTAACCTTCCATTTTATTCTCAATTTATGAATTATAAAAACAACTATCCCCAATAGTACGGAATATTCCATTCACATTTCTGGAATATTTAATTGTAACATTAGGAATATTACCAAGAAACATTCTATAAACTTTCAAGGAATATATTGAAATGACTAACATGCCTAACTTTTGGAATGTTCTTTTGGCATAATGTAGGAATATTCCATCAATTAAAGAAATTCAATTATTTTCAAAAGTAATAAAATTCTTCACAGAAATTCAAATATGTTTAAATTTTTTTTTAATTTCTCGTCAAAATTCCAATTATTTTTATAAATAATAAAATACTTTTCCGAAAAAAGAATTTTAATAAAATTTATAGCAAAATTTCAAATTTTAAAAAGTTTTTCTCAATTCCATGATTTTCAATATCTATTATTATTTAAAAATTTCTTGATAAAATTCTTTATAAGAATTATATTTTAAGAAACATTCAACTATTCAATAAATTATTATTTATTTTTGCATCTAAATAATTGAATTCTCATAGAATTTTCTAATAAATATGTATATATAGGTTATATATATATTATTTCAAAAATTTTAAAGCAAATCTTCGAAAGAGTTCAATTATGCCTATAAATATCATAATTTTTTCAGAAATTTAATTATTTTTAGGAATTTTAATAACATTCTTTGCCAAATTCAATTATTTTCATAAATAACAATATTTATCACAAGAATTCAATTATTTTCAAATATTTTAATAAAATTCAATAATTTTCAAAAATGTTTCTTAACTCAATGACTATTAAAATCTGCTATTTAATAACATTTCCCAAAAGAATTCAACTAATTAAAAAAAATTTTGGTAGTATTCTACGCAAACAGTAAAATATTTTCATAAATAAAAAAAAATTAAACAGGAAATTCAATTATTTGAAATATAATTGTCATACATTTTTTCGAAAATAATTTTTTTTACAATTTTTCTATATAAAATTATTTTCACAAGTGATACAATTTTTCACTGGAATTCAATTATTTTTATAAATTTATATTATAAATTCATCGTTTTGATCCACTATTTAAAGTGACATGTCATTATTCACAATGTGGAGTTACGTTTAAAAAGTGTAGCTCCTATAAGCAACATAAGAGTCGCTATCATTGTCAACCACATGTGCAAAATAATGGTGAAGAAAATATTGTGGATAACATACCAAATAATGTGGTTATTGTACAAAATGCACAAAGTAAGATTAATTCAGATATTATTTATTTTATCCTACTGTTCTAAAGGAAAATAAAATTGCATTTTTTTAAATTATGATATTAATTATATTACATTACATTTTAATACAATTTTGTACAGATTTTAACGTAAGAAAGTGTTAAAAATATAATTTAATATGTTATTCAAATCACTTTGAAATTAAACTTTTTTACTTTTTGTTTTAATATACCAAAATATTGATTTGGACCAACTTTTTTTATTGTCAGATTCTTCTTAGTCCCTTTTACACTTTCTGCATAGAACTTACTCATGTATCAATTAATTTTTTTATAGATATTGGAGATCCAATTGTTGCACCCTTAGAGGAATTTAATTGGACAGCAGCTCAATTTATAGTTGACATACGAGAAAATTGTAAAGTTTCTCAAGTCGCAACGAACAAAATTATAAATGGAGTAACAGATTTAATGAAATTGTATACGACAAACATATTAGTAAGTATTGTATAAATGTATTTCTTTAATTTTTACATTCAATTCCTTTAGCAAAAATATATTTTGTATACGTTTTTATTTTAAGTAACTTTTGAACATTTTTCCAATTAATTCTATTAATACTTTAATGGTTTCTATTCGTATTTCCAAAGATTTATTTTAACAACAACTTCTTTTAGTTAAATTATTTAATTAACAAAATGATAAAATTGCTGTTTAAAAAAAATTTGCTTAAAGCAACAGAGAAAAATAATTAACATTATTCTTATTTATTTTACAGAATGAAATTAAAAATCAAAGAGATCCAAATACAAATTTAGTTGATGCTAACCAATTGGAAAGGTTATTACAAGAAACGTATGATCCGACATTGGTATTTGAACCAATCAAATCTAAATGGTATTTAGATAAATTTTTAATTAATGAGTTATTAATGGTTTGCGCAGAACCAGTGACACTTGGTGTTTCCTTAAAATGGAAAAAAATCAAGAAATACCACATTTAATAGAAGTTGAGGAAGAAGTTTTTATTGTTCCATTTTTAAAAAACCTAAAAAATTTATTGTTAAATAAAGAAATTCATGACAATATTAATGAAACAAACTTCATAAATGATGGTGTTCTTAGGACAGTTTTGAATGGAACTTATTATAGAGAAAACGAAGTTTTTCGACAAATGGAAAATCCTCTAGCCGTAATATTGTATTATGATGACGTAGGGATTGCAAATCCTCTTGGAAGCCATTCGACGACCCAAAAACTGGGAATGTTTTATTGGACTTTAGCAAACATAGACCCAAAATTACGATCGAGTCAAAATTCAATATTTTTATTGGCAATAGTTAAGGCAAAGTTAATAAAAAAATTTGGACTTGAAAAGTTACTGAAGCCATTCATTGATGACATGAAAATATTACGAACGAGAGGTGTTTTTATTACAGTTGACGGCGAAGATTTACTTTTCAAAGGTTCCTTACTATTTTGTGCGGGGATACTCCTGCTTCTGCTTTTTTAGGTGGTTTTAAAGAATCAGTGTCATCAATTCGACTATGCAGAACATGTTTAGTAAGAAAAGAAGACTAGAATACGAATTTTAAGGATGAGTTCACACATTCAAATGCAGAGTCTCATCGACAACATTTGGATGCTATAACAGATCTAACTGCACCCAAGGCTGTTGGTTCCTTTTGGAAACGGCGTTATGGAGTAAATTCGGAATCCGCTTTATTCGAAATTATGGACGTGACTAAATGTCTTCCCCAAGATGCAATGCATTTATTTCCTGAAGGTGTGACGGAAGTAACCACCAGAGCTATTCTTTGGTATTTTATTATTGAGAAAGAACTTTTATCTGTGGAACAATTAAATAAAAAGATGGAAAATTTTAAGTTTGGTCATTTCAAAAACAACAAACCTGGGGTAATTCTACGTGACCACCTCAGAAGGGATATGAAGTTGAAGCAAAGTGCATCGCAAACATTGGCTCTTGCTCATAGCCTACCGTTTTTATTGAATGAATGGATTATAGAAGACAACATTGAACATTTGGAGCATATTTTACTTCATGTAAGTATGTTACAAATTGTAAATGTTTGCTTTTCAAATGAAATTCATCGCAATACTACGTATGTATTGGCAAGAATGATAGAAATATTTGATTTAAAATTCAAGCGTTTATTTCCGGAATGGCTTGTACCAAAGTTTCATTTTATAACGCACTTGCCTCAGTATATACGAATGTTTGGTCCTGCTCGTCAGCAGTGGTGTTTTGGATTTGAAAGAGAACACGGATACTTCAAGCAGCTAGTGCCGGTAGTTCGAAGTTTTAAAAACATGTCCTTGACATTGTGTTATCGACATCAAGCGCGACTTTGTTTTCAACTCGCTACATTCCGTGGAAGAGAATCCAAAAAATTCTTATATCAGGGAGATGAAATCACTATCGGTCAAAGAGTGCTATTGAGAAATTTGCCGCATATGGAATTACTTTTCGATTTTATTCCACAGGATGAAATAGAAACTTTTAATATTTCTCGCTGTCTTCGAGTGAAATCGCATGGAACAAAATATAAAGAAGGATCAATTATTTTGTTAGAATGCGAAGAAAATTCACTCCCCATATTTGGAGTGATTAAAGAAATCTTTGTTATCGACGACATAATATTGTTTTGTTACATTAAATTAGATACGATACACTACAAGGAAACTTTAAATAGTTACAAAATTAATAAACCTTGTATTATCTCTCAAAATGTAATTAGGCTAAAGGATCTAATATATTTCCACATCCGATTCCTGAATTTAAATTTGAAAACAGCAAATATGTCTTTTTACTCGATCACGAACGTACAGAATTTTACGGATGATATACTTATATTGTAAATTAAATATAAAAGCCTAAATTGTACACATTTTATTAAGAAAACTTAATATTGTTTAGATCAATAAAATATACTTTAACTATTTACATTATGTACTTTAAATATTACAAAAATTTCTATTAGCCTAACTCCCTTTCACCAATAAAATTTAAAAAACTGTAATTTTTCTATTTTATTAATATTAAATGTAGTTAATTAAATAATAAAACCCGATTTTATTGACATTAATTTGTTTATGTAATTGAAAAAGATGTAAATTTATAACTTCAACTTATTGAAATAACAATTAATTATGGTTTTATGTTTTAAAAATTTATAACTTTATTTTATTAAAAATAACAAATAACAATTAATTGTGGTTCTCTATATTTAAATTAAGAGAACAGAGTGTAAGATAAATAATACTTATCAGGAAAGTTAATTAATTAATCTAAATCACATTTTGAGTCATTTCGAGATAATACTTATCAGGTAAGTTAATTAATTAATCTAAATCACATTTCGAGTCATTTGGAGATAATAATTATCAGGTAAGTTATTTAACTAATGTAAATCACATTTCGAGTCTAAACAAACTGTTCTGTTGAACTCAGTATCATAAAGTTTTAATTAAAAGCATTTTAAAGTTAATCATTATTTAAGAAAAAATATATTGATCATGAATATCTTAATTTCCAATTGCTTTTGAACTACTAAATTACTTTTTTAAATTTATATTCTACGTCTCGAATGAGCTTGTCAAGTTTCTTATTTACATTTACTTTTCCTAATATTGCATACTCAAAGTACTGCAATGTATTTAAATAAACATTTGGGTAAGAGCAATTCCAAGAGTAATAAGTAGCAAAAAGACACATTACTACTTTTATTGCAGTTGGTTCCGCAATTTTTATTCTCGCCCCGTCACATACGATGAACGCTTCAGCCAATCTTTCCTCTGCTGTGTATGCAACAAGCCTTGGTGAAGAATTTAGTGTTGATATGAGTGCAGAAGTACTTTTACCTGCCTTTTTAAAATTCAAAAATTATTTTTATTTTACCGAAAAAAGTTAAAGCTATAGTACTATTGAATTGTCGCTACAAACAACCGATGTGTCGGTTCTTTAAATCGACTCATCAATTTTAACTATAGTATCGTGCAAAATAAATAACGTAAAAAAAGTACTTCTTCGATTAAGATTAACGGTTCACTTATTTTGCGAAATTTGGAAACTGTCAAATTGTCATAAAGACATTTCATGACTTTGATTTTTTGTTCTTTATTTTTGCAATCTATAGCAAAATAAGTGCCCAATTTGTCAATCATTTCTTCCGTAGAATCAGATAATGCATTTTCACTTGTATTTCGCAAGATACTGAAGTCAAGAATAATCTGAAAATTTTTTTTATTTGAAGAAAAAATATGGAAATAATTGTTTAATTAAAAAGCTTAATTTTTGAAAAAGTAAAATTATACATACTGCCGTGTATGTCTGTAGTTGAGGATATTCACGAATGATATCCATAACAGTTTTGGCGTTTGTTTCAATAAATTCTCTGCGTAAAGCAAAAGTTTCTCTAAGCAAGCGTAGCACGTTCGAGGATTCCTCTGTAGGTAAGCATTTTTTTAATTCTGTTAATGCTTCATTATTATCTAAATTTAGAGAACATTCGCTCCTTGCAGCTTCAGTGGACGACAACTTTTTTTCTCCTGATTTCCCGGTATTGTTAATTTTTCTTTTATAAAAATAACGTCGACTACGAATAGAAGTAGAAATTTGGTTCTTGACAACATCCTACGAATCAAGCAGAAATATTAATTTAAAAAACATAAATTAAAGTAATTTTAATATCAATAAATATACAAAGCACTTACGAAATTATTTTTACTTCCACCCTCTAACTCCGGAAAAGTTTCAATAATTGTTTTACAATAATTGAAGTACTCAATTTTTGTTGGTCCATTTTCAGTCAGTGATTCCAAGTGAATTGACCAGTGGTAAATAAATGACGATTGGAATTCATAGACTTTGTCCTGCTCTTTTATTTTAATCAAATTTGGTGGCAGTATTGGCAGTTTTGCCGGATATGGAACACGCGGTGTTTGAAAGCATCTCTTTTTTGACGACGAGGGAATTTCTTGATACTCCGATGTGGACGAGAGATTTACCAATTTTTCACCAGAACATTCCTAAAATAAGGTTCATTTATCAATTAGAGCTTGATAATTTTTAAATAAATGTTAATATTTATATTCCTTTTATCCTCCCTACGGTTTAAGCAGAGTATACTCGGGGTGTATCTTTCGTTTATTTCTTTAAAATAATTTAATTTGAGAATCATATAAATAAAACTTTCAGTGTAAATTGAAGCTATATAGTTATATTTAATGTCAAAGTAAAAATGAAATAGTCAAAATTAATTTCAACAAAATTATAAATTTTTTTTCTTGAAAAATTGAAAAATGCTAAAACCGTAGGAGGGTTAATAGAAAAAATAAATACTAAGAAGGAAAGGAACCTAAACACCAAAAAATTATTGGTTATGTTTATGGTCGTTTAAGTTTTATAATTTAATTGCTATTTTTGTTTCCATGCATTTTCATTTCCTACATAGAAAAAATAACCTATAATTTTTTGTTTATATTCCCTTTCCTAAGAGCGCGTCACATTTTTACTTTACAAATTATTATCTCACAAGAATTGTAAATATCGTACGTTTATGTAACTTACCTCACTTTTTATTATTATGACATCAGAATTAGTTTGCACCAACTTTTCATTTATTACAGGATTTTCGAATGTGGCAAGTACTTGGAAACCGCCTGCCATTAATTGATTAGAAGGTTTCTCGGCTTTAGCACGGGTTTTCGGAACTAACAAAACGTTGATTATAGTATTATTTTCAACGATATCGTCTTCCTCGATGTCACATTGTTCATTAATTACTGTGTCCATTTTTTGTAACACTATAAAACTATTCGACAACTCTGAAGATAGACTTTCATCGTCCTCACAGGATTTTAGAAGAGCCTCTTTAATGCTTCTGCAGTCATCAATATTTCCTGCGTCACTATATTTGATTTTTTTGATTCGATTCTCCCTTCTGTCATTAATTTTGCAATACACAGTTTTGTCGACTAGTTTTATAGTGTTACAAAAAATGGATACAGTAATTAATGAACAATGCGACATCGAGGAGGACGATATCATTGAAAATAATAGTTTAATAAACGTTTTGTTAGTTCCGAAAACCCGTGCTGAAGCCGAGAAACCTTCTAATCAATTAATGACATGCGGTGACGAAGAAATTGCTATATTGGATAACCTAGAGGTAAATAAACAGTTAGTGCAAACTAATTCTGATGTCATAATAATAAACAGTGAGGTAAGTTACATAAACGTACGATATTTTCAATTCTTGTGAGATTATAATTTATAAAGTAAAAATAATTTATAAATGGACCTTATTTTAGAAATGTTCTGGTGCAAAATTGGCGAATCTACCGTCCACATCGGAGAATCAAGAAATTCCCTCGTCGTCAAAAAAGATATGCTTTGAAACACCGCGAGTTTCATATCCGGCAAAACTGCCAAAACTGCCTCAAATTTGATTAAATTAAAAGAAAAGGACAAAGTTAACGAATTCCAATCGTCATTTATTTACCACTGGTCAATTCACTTGGAATCACTGACTGAAAATGGACCAACAAAAATTGAGTACTTCAATTATTGTAAAACAATTATTGAAACTTTTCCGGAGTTAGAGGGTGGAAGTAAAAATAATTTCGTAAGTGTTGCATAAATTTATTTTATCCAAACAAAAATTATTAATTTTTCTAAAAATGTTAATGAAAAAAAAAATTATTAATGTTAACTCTTTAAATTTCTAAATTCACACATTTAAATGGTATAATTCGCTCTATCGTTTAACAAGTGCATATATACGCTTTTACAATAAGTGAATTTTTACTCATAATAATTTATATGCACTTATTGACCCTGAAAGCGACTTATAAATGAAATTTGACATATTCAGATTTAAAGAGAACTCATTTTAGACTAAAAATGATTTGATGAAAATTATTTTAATAATTATTCCTAACTCTTTTACAGGATGTTCTCAAGAGTCAAATGTTAAGCTTGATTCGTAATCGGCGTTGTGGTAACAATAGTCAAATTAACAAACATTTGTGTTTACACGATAGGAAAAGTTCATCCAAAGCTGTAAATAATCTCGAAAGTAGTTTTGACAATAAAGAAGCTATGTCCGAATTAAATAAATGTTTACCTGATGATGACTCCAAACATGTGCAACGCCTTCTAAAGGAAACATATGCTGAACGAAGAAAATGGATAGAAACCAACGCCAAAAACGTTGTGGATATTATTCAACAATATCCTCAACTACAAGTTCATTCATTAGTAAGTATAGAATGGGGCGGTATTAATCCTACACAAATAAACTCTACACAAGAAAATTCTACACCGCTAACTGTACACGAGAAAACTCTCAAAAGAATTTTAAAAAAACTAATGCTACATAAGTAAATACAACATCCTAAAACCCTACACAGTAAACTGAAAACTAAAAAACTCTCACCGTAAACTGCACACGAGTAAACTCTACACATGCATGAAAAAATGAAAATAACATTTTCAAATAATTCCACACAAATAAATCCTACATTAGTAAACTCTCCACAGCTCTAAAAATTAATTAATGAATTCTTTTTATTATACTACACAATTAAATTCTACACATGAAAATTGTCATTAATCATTTTGGTTTATGTCTAAATTTCTGCACAATTAAACTCAACATTTGTAAATTCTACACATAAAATGAAACTTAATAAACCCTACACAAGTCAATTCTACACATTATGTGAAAATTAAACTCCACACGAGGTAACTGTACACATGTGTCATTTGTTGTTAACAATTAAATGTCGTTACGAAAGAGACAAAAGAGAAACGTTTTCCAAACAACAAATGACACATGTGTACAGTTACCTCGTGTGGAGTTTAATTTTCACATAATGTTTAGAATTGACTTGTGTAGGGTTTATTAAGTTTCATTTTATGTGTAGAATTTACAAATGTTG